TACGGCAAAGTCGTTTGTATTTCTCAAAAATTCGATTTATATTATTACAGCTATATGGATTTCGTGGGTCGTCACCCTTGCGTCGTTGAGAGAAATGATCGTAATCCTGACTAATTCGAGAAACGACTGTATTCATGTGATAGTTGACCACGAAAAAGGAAGGAACCGAAACAGGGTAATGACACAAGTATGTGCCTTTGTAGTTCTCTCCTATGTGCATGCATATATCACACACACTCTTTTTGAATCAGAATAAGAAGGCAATCGATATTGATGAATTTCACGAGCGCAGTCAAGTATATAGGTAATTAATTCCCTTTGGAAACTGAAATTTCAGGGGTCATAGTTGAGGTTCACGAATACAGGCTTGAAGGTGTTCTGATTCTGGGGCTCTAAATTTTCAAACTATGCGCAAACCATCATCTCCTGATTAAGTCAATTCATGTCATTGCTGATATACTGTATGCTAATGATTAAGTATTCAAAATCATTGTGTGATCGCTTGGCGTCGTGTGTTACATGGTCACTTATAATACATGTTATCCGATTTATTACAGTATGACCTTAGAACTCCAATGTTAAAAGTGATTGTTGACTCGTTCCGAAAATCACATTTGTTTCAGTAAGTAATCTCTTGTGTAATCCACATAACTTTCCTCGCATATCGCCCTCTGCCTCTCGAACACTCATAATTAGATTAATAATAAACCTGTTAGTCGTGATCCCACCATGTTAAAATTAACAGTTAAATGAGCAAATAATATCAGACGACTCACTTCTAAGTTCTCCATCATCCAACTTTTCTATGAAATCCCTATGATCCTCATAAAATCTTTTTGCACGATCGTATATTTCCAAACTTCTTGTTTTTTTACTCTGTCAAAAGAGAAGAAAAAATTTTTTTCTTTGTGAACTTCCTCCATCCTCGGCATCCATAGAATGAACGATGGGCAGTTAATGGTTACCTTCACGAGAACGTCAATCAACTCGCCATCCTCATGCCTGGTCGTCAAACAAAAGGAAATATCAAGGATAACCGTGGAGGTGCAATCACACAAATCACGTCTATTCCTATGAAGGGAAGGATACAATTCAAGATATTTCATAGAAAATGTATAAAATTGCGGACAGATTCTGCGAAGGTTAACATATAGCGGGTTAACTTTTAACGCGTTAATGATTTCAATTTCCAGAAATTTTGGCCTTTC